GACCAGAAAGAAGTGAGGAACTGGGGAACAGCATTCCAAGTAGAAGGAACAGTGAGTAGAGAGGCCTTGAGCATGAGGTGAGCAGCGTGTGCACAGATTAGCAAAGGAAACCAGCCAAACGGGAGCAGAGGGAGTAAGAGGCGATGAGCTTAGGCAGTGATAGGGAAATAATGACTATCAAGCAGGGCCTTGTAGCTGATTATAAAGACATAGCTGGTACCCAGAGTGAAAGGCAAAGCCATACAGAGGCAACAACAGCCATGATCTACATAATACCCAGAAAGAAGAAGATTTGCACATGTGTGAAAGAGCAAGAGCGAGAGTAAAAACAAAACCTGAAAGGCAAACCTCTAAATATTAAAACGGTGATATTATCTGATTATGCAATTTTTTTCTTTGTCCTTTATGAATTGTCTGAACATTCCACAGTAGGTGATACTTTTCTACTTTTAAAAAGGAAATCAAGTTTTGAAAAATAATTATTCAGAAAAGTAAACCCCTCATCCCACAGTTTTATAGGGTTAACAGATAAAAGGGGAGAGTGTGTGCTTTATGAGATAAGATCCCCTTTTGCTCTTTGGGAGGAAGCCCAGCCATGAATGGGGCAGATCCAGAGAGATGGCTCTAGCTATGGAAGGGACCTCACTAATCCGGGTCCCTTTGTTCAGCAGGTTCCCCTGTGGGTCCACTTACATGCCATGTGGACTTCCAAACAAGCTGCAACTCTGACAACAGCCGGGCCCTCCAAGTCACGGAAAAACAACTGCTAAGGCATCAAGATGAATGTTTTCTGCCCAAGCCTACAAGCGCCTGTGGTTTTATATCTTTATCACCCCAAGTGCTACCTCAGGTCCTCAGTTCTGCAGAGAAGCCAATCAGAGACAGACACTTGTCCTCCAGTTTCCACTTCTATCTTTATCACTACAGCGTGGAGGAAAAGAAAAAGATTGGACCTTAAGAAAAGATATAAATTTAATGGAGGGCTTTATAGGGGAAAAAGATTTCAAATCTCAACTGGATTCATGATACTCAGAAAAGAAAGTCTGGATTCTCAAAATGTGGTACCCGGATCTGTAGCATCAGCATCACCTGAAAGCTTGCTGGAAATGCAAATGCCCAGGGCCCCTTGCCAGACCTGCTGCAACAGAAATATGGGGAAGGGATCAAGCCCTGCAAGAGAGTTGGCCCCATGCTAAAGAATGCCACAAAATCCACTGCAAGAGGTGTTTCCTTAGACTCTTCCTCCCTTTACTTAAGGTAGTCAGTTTGGGCCAGGTGCAGTGGCTCATGCTGTAATCCCAGCACTTTGGGAGGCCGAGGCAGGCAGATCACCTGAGGTCAGGAGTACAAGCGAGACCAGCCTGGCCAAGATGGTGAAACCCTGTCTCTATTAAAAATACAAAAATTAGCTGGGTGTGATGGTGCATGCCTGTAATCCCAGCTACTTGGGAGGCTGAGGCAGGACAATCGCTTGAACCCGGGAAGCAGAGGTTGTGGTGAACTGAGATCACGCCACTCACTGCACGCTGGCCTGGGCAACAGAACGAGACTGTCTCAAAAATAAATAAAAATAAGTAAGAGAGAGTCAGTTGGGTTAGGGTCCAAATGTCTCATCCTCTAGCAGGAGATCTTCATTACTACTCTGTGCTCCATGGAGGTTTCTAAAAGCAAGTGTCCTTGAGATATCAACACTGACCTAGGCCCTTTTACTTTGCTAGCTGGTCAGACTGAGCTGGAGCTTTGTCATTAGCAATTTCTCCAGGAAGCCCGTGGGGATCACGTGGACCTGCCTTTTGTGCTCCTGTTCCCTGGACTGCTAGCATACCTATCACTGTGAAATTGTGTCACTGGAAACTTAATCTCTCTGGATATAAAACTCTGTCCTCCTGTGAAAAGTTCTGAGCACTTGATTTTAACAAGGAGAAGAGCTGTAACATGTTGTATCTCATCTATAATCCTGTAATTTTATCTTTGATTGCTCAGTAATACCATCTTTTCCCAGTAGGGTGAAATCATCCTTTCGCTTATTAAACCTTGCACACACTGAAGGCCCTTAAGTCCCAATTTGAAGGACCCAGACGGAAGGTATTCTGAGATTCCCACTCACCATTTAATAAGTAGTTGGTCTCTGATATAGATTGTACAAAAAGTTCAAAACAAATCACATATTTATTAGCTTTTCTGTGTTAGTTCCACCAAGAAATATCTTCTAATACAAAATATTCAAAATAAAGCATTCAGGCAGGGTACAGTGACTCACGCCTGTAATCCCAGCACTTTGGGAGGTCCAGGCAGGATGATTGCTCGAGGCCAGGAGTTTGAGACCAACCTTGGCAACACAGTGATACTCCATCTCCACAAAATAAAAATAAAAAATAATTTGCCGGGTGTGGTGGTGCACGCCTGTAGTCCCAGCTACTGGGTAGGCTGAGGTGAGAGGATCCCTTGAACCCAGGAGTTCAATGTTGCAGTGAGCTATAATTGTACCACTGCACTCCAGCCTGGATGACAGAGCAAGACTCTGTCTCTAAAAAAACAACAACAAAATTAATTTAAAATCATAACTAAATAAAAACAAAATAAAGCATTCAGTAAAAACTTAAAACTTCAAAGAATCTGTCAATAGAGACTTACTCTACTAAAGTTATTGTGACTCTGGATGGTGTTTCTTTTTATTTTTAATAAATTTTTAATTATGAATAATTTTAAGTTTATAGAAAGTACAGTAAGCTCCCATATACTGTTCTCTGTTTCCCCTCCTGTTAACATCTTACATAACTATGATACATTCATCAAAACTGAGAAATTAACTTTAATACCTTACTATTACCAAAACTCCAGACTTTACACAGATTTCACTAGGTTTTCCACTAATGTTCTTTTTCTGTTCTAGGATCCAATCCAGGATACCACATTGCATTTAGCATTTTGTTTTTCAGTTCTCATTTACTCCTTCCTGCCAACTTCTGGATTAGAACCTCATATAGATAGCCACTTATAAATAGCTGTTAATTAACTAACACAGCATCCTGCACTTCATAACTGGTAGCAATTCTGCCCTAAAAATAAAGCAATCCACAGGGCAGTGACCAGTCTGCGTCAGCAGTGTCACCAGCCTGCCGTGGAGGCTAGGCTGGCTCTACTCAGACCCCAGCATCCTCTTAGGTAGGCCTGGGTTAGAGAAAGAAATCTACTTTGGGCCCAAACGAACTGGACAATCTAGCCAAGCTTACTGATCCCATTCTTGAAGATAAAAGTAAGCCAGTTTATTCTGGGGGAAACTCCTTATAACAATACTTACAGGATGACTGGAATGTTAAATGATTTAGGAAACTGCAGTTAAGATTTTTTTTTTTTTTTTTTGAGTTCCAGTCTATCCAAAGGCAACAGTAGAAAGACAGTCTGGGCAAAGGTGGAGGAAAAACAGAAATCACCCCATGACCGTTGGGTAGGATTCTCTGGAGAACAGCTACTGCACAATTACCTGCACACCCAGCCTCCTTCTTCCTTCCCTCATCCAGTTCCTCTCCATGACAGTGACACAGAGACACCCACAGAGAGAAAAGCAAGCAAAAAATTTGTAGCACAAAGTAAAATGTGCAAACAGCCCATCTAAACCATAGTTCTCATGCCAGCTCTACAGACATGGCTTCTGGGGGCACAAGATAATGACTTCTGAAGTGGAAGCAATTATCTCGCATACTCTTGTGGATTCAAGTTCCAATTTCTGATGACATTCTTCCTCTAAATTTCTGACATACATACACTTCCCAAGGTTCCCCTGTGGCACTGACCTGGAATCTCAGGAATTCTTAGAAATGAGAGGAAACTAAATGATCAAGTCCAACTCTTGGAGGCAACTTCAAAATACTGCTCACTCAGAGGAGAACCGGGTGGGGCCTAGAAATCAGCCTGAGGGCTCCCTCTAGATGCATTACCACAAACTGATGTTTTCTTCTCTCTCTTTTGGTAATCAACAAGTTGACATATGAGTTGTTAAGACTTTGAGGCCAGGTGTGATGGCTCATGACTGTAACCCCAGCACTTTGGGAGGCCAAGGCGGGCGAATCACGAGGTCAGGAGTTCAAGACCAGCCTGGCCAACATAGTGAAACCCTGTCTCTACTAAAAATACAAAAAAAATTACCCAGGCATGGTGGCAGGCGTCTGTAGTCCCAGCTACTTGGAGTCGGAGGTAGCAGTGAGCCAAGATCGCGCCACTGCACTCCAGCCCTGGTGACACAGTGCACAGTGAGATTCTGTCTCAAAAAATAAATAAATAAATAAAATAAAAGACTTTAATGAAAGCAAGTTAGAGAAAGCAGGGAGAAGTACTCAACAACCGTGACTGACAGGCAGCAAGTTCATGGAGAAGGCACTCAAGGCCTTTTTTTTTTTCCTTTTTTTTTGAGACAGTCTCACTCTGCCACCCAGGATGGAGTGCAGTGGTGCAATCTCAACACACTGCAACCTCTGCCTCCTGGGTTCAAGCAATTCTCGTGCCTCAGGCTACAGAGCAGCAGGGGCTACAGGTGCCCACCACTACACCCTGCTAATTTTTGTATTTTTTTAGGTAGAGATGGGGTTTCACCATGTTGGACAGGCTGGTCTTCAACTCCTGACCTCAGGTGATCTGCCCGCCTCAGCCTCCCAAAGTGCTGGGATTACAGGTGTGAGCCATCGTGCCCGGCCCACTCAAGGCCATTTAATGTGCTTGCTCTCCCTGGAGGCAAAGGGCACAGATCCCACACTCCTCAGCAGCCCATGCTTCCCCAAGGTGAGTTCTGTCTGGATGTTAAGATCTGTAGACAATTCCACCGTGCTCTCTGCAGTAGGACCCAGCGATCATCTACATAATTCTCTGCCTCCCATGAACCTAGGTCGACAATGGACTTGCTTCTCCCTAATTGCAAAGTAATAATGAATGTCTGCAGCTGAACATTCCTATCAACTTTTGGGGCATGTTATGTAGTCTCAGAAATTTGTTTGAAAACATCAACATGGCTCCTCTCTTCGGTCCGTACGTCCAAAATGACAAAGAAAAGAAGGAACAACGGTCGTGCCAAAAAGGGCCGCGGCCATGTGCAGCCTATTCGCTGCACTAACTGTGCCCGATGCGTGCCCAAGGACAAGGCCATTAAGAAATTCGTCATTCGAAACATAGTGGAGGCCGCAGAGGTCAGGGACATTTCTGAAGCGAGCGTATTTGATGCCTATGTGCTTCCCAAGCTGTATGTGAAGCTGCATTACTGTGTGAGTCGTGCAATTCACAGCAAAGTAGTCAGGAATCGATCTCATGAAGCCCGCAAGGACCGAACACCCCCTCCCCGATTTAGACCTGCGGGTGCTGCCCCACGTCCCCCACCAAAGCCCATGTAAGGAGCTGAGTCCTTAAAGACTGAGACAGACTCTTCTCTGGAGAAAAATAAAATGGAAATTGTACTTAAAAAAAAAAAAAAAGAAAAGAAAACATCAACATGGTCATGATTCATGATCTAAATAAAAGCAATTACATTCAGGTGATTGTTGTCCCTATAGATCTTATTAATCAGCACGATTATTGAGTATGAATGTAAAGGGAATTAGCAGACCATTCAGAGTAAGTGTTCCCAACTTAATAAAATCTACACCTAGTTTTCTAGAACTCTTTATGGTGGCTCTGGATGAATACAGGTATTAGTCTGTGGTCAGAAGGACTTGCATTATGCCCTCCTCCTTGCTGTAACTGTCCATTTGAGTTACAGGACAAGGCAGACAGGAAGTGTGGCATCAATGCCCAGCTAGATCACAGGCCAGATAAAATATCAGCATGCCTGGGTAGAATCTTTTTTTTTTTTTTTGATATGGAGTCTTGCTCTGTCATCCAGGCTGGAGTGCAATGGCATGATCTCGGCTCATTGCAACCTCTGCCTTCTGGATTCAAGCAATTCTCCTACCTCAGCCTCCCAAGTGGCTGAGATTACAGGTGCCCATCACCATGACTGGCTAATTTTTATATTTCTCTAGAGACAGGGTTTCACCACGTTACCCAGGCTGGTCTTGAACTCCTGACCCCAAGTAATCTGCCCGCCTCAGCCTCCCAAAGTGCTGGGATTACAGGCATGAGCCACCATGCCCAGCCCAGTAGGCTCTTTTAGAAGTCCCTGTTTCCTTTTAGCACAATCTGAGTAAGGTGGGAGGGAGGGAAGCGGGGGAAACAGAGGCTCGGAGGCAGAGTAGTCAATGTCATGAGAAAGCTATTTTTAAGCCTTAAGGTGACACTGAGGGTGGAGGTTGCCGACACCTTTTAGCTTTGTCTTGAAGCCAGGCCATGTGACTGTAATTTAGAGTGATTAGCTAGAAGCATCTTAGTAGGAAGGGAATTTGTATTTATAACCAGATAAGTACTGTATACAACTGGATCACACACATCTTGAAGCCACTTCCCCAGCTTTATTATGCTTGCAATGATTTTTTTGTAGACTCTCTGCATTTCTTTATAAAGAGCCCTAAGTGTGTCCTTAAGTAAATTGCCATCAAATATGATAAAGTCACATTCACATTACTCAAAAAGTCTAATATTCCTGCTCTTTTATCTTTGATGCATAAAAATAAAACTAATGAAATCCCAAAGGAAAAATCTGCACATACACCACCAACAAACACCCTCCCTGCTCACAGGCAGGAGGAGGAACCTGCGGGGATTGTAGTAGGCTGCACGAAGCACCTCCGGAATGGTGTGACTCTACCAACTCTACCGGCGGAAGGAGACAGAGGTGGAATCAGACACCGGGTGATAAGCGCTCACTTACATCTCCACCTGTGAGCGTCCACATACATACTCAGAAGTTAGTCCTCAGCATCACCAACCTACCAATTCTCATCACAAGAATGGCTCATGTACAAGAAAAGGTTTTCCAAAGCATGTGAGGCCCCGTCCCTCAGGGACCATGACATTTCTTCCCACCTGATTGTAACCGGAATTGCATCTTCACCTGGGGAGAAGACAGGATGTGAAAATGTCTTCTCAATGCAGTAACAGAGGTGTCACTTGTTTTAAAAGTGAGAAACTAACTAATGCTTAGAACTGTAAACCCCAGAGCATTGTTTGTGAATACCAAGGACCTAGAAGTCTCCTCAGGCAGGCCAGAGAGGGATAGGAGAATGAGCATCCACATTTAGAGCCCAAAATATGCCTTCTAATAGAAATCATACTATAAAGATTGGGTAGGGCTGGGCATGGTGGCTCACGCCTGTAATCCCAGCACTTTGGGAGGCCGAGGTCGGCAGATCACCTGAGGTCAGGAGTTTGACACCAGCCTGGCCAACATGGTGAAACCCCACCTCTATCAAAAATACAAAAATTAGCTGGGCATGTCGGCAGGCACCTGTAATCCCAGCTGCTGGGGAAGCTGAGGCAGGAGAATCAGGATACAGAGGTTGTGGTGAGCTGAGATCGCATCACTGCACTCCAGCCTGGGTGACAGAGCAAGATTACATCTCAAAAAAGAAAAAAAAATTAAATTAAAAGAAAGCCAAAAGTTTCTTTTAATTCTGTAAATGAATTCTAAAATAAGGAAGATTGGTGGATCAGTTAGGAATCTAACCAGATTTTATATTATTCCTGTGGGGGAAAAGTGTTTCATACTCTAGGCAACATATTTATAAATCAACCACTGGAACACAATACATTTGTCCTCTGGTGACTAATGAGGAGGGCCAGGGGATAGATTTTTGCCCTTTGTCTTGGAGAAAGGTGCGCTGGTGGAGAGGGGGACTGTGGCCCCTGTCCCTGTGTGGGTAGTGAGAGCCAGCAGAGAGCTGCCACTTCCTGAAAACACCACATGTGAAAATGCATCCTGGTTCCACCCTCCTGAGTCCCTGTGTGCAAAATTGCCTCCCCAAGTCTTCCTGGTACACATCCCTTCACTTGCTCCCAGTTAAGGCTCTTCCCCAAAGATCCAGGTAAGCAACTCTGCTTAATATGTTAGGTTTCGTGCTTTTTGTTTTGGTTTTTTTTTTTTTTTTTTCTCTTGTCATTTGGGCTTGCTCTTTCCTCTGCACTTAGATTTCTCTGCACAAAAGCCATTCCACAATGTTCTCATTGTTTTCAGTTCTCTGCCCAGCAAAGCAGCCCTGGGATAAGAACCACAAGGGGTAGTTGGACCTAATTCTGGGACCTTACTTGGTAATAAAATCCAAATCGGATGGGGAGAAAGGGATGGCAACACCATTGGATAAGCCAGATGTGGTCTCTATGGTGGACCGCAGGCACATAGGAAGTCCAGATGTGAAATCATCCTCTAAGCTGTCAGATTTGGAGCTTATTGCCTTTTGCTCAGTAGTGTGCTCTGACAGCCTTGCAAAGAACGTTTGATTTTGTTTCAACCTGTTTTATAGATAAGTACATCATTGGACAATGTCTGAAGATGACATCTAGCCTTTCAGTGGTCTTACTCATACTTAGAGATATGTATTGATCATCTACTATATGCCAGGCATTGAGGAGACAATGATGAATAATTCCCATCTTCAGAAGCTTGTGGTGAAAGACAGAGAATGACACATCACTGGGTCAGTCAACCTCAGTACACTGTGATGGGATCTATAGTAGACAAGGGGAAGTGCAGAAGAGACAATAACTTTCCCTAAGAGCACTGGGGCCTTCACAGAGGAAGAAGGATTTGAACTGAGTCTTGAAGGATGCGTAGGACTTGACCAAGCCTATGTAAGATGTGGAGATGAGAAAGGAGATGGCACCATCTGGAAAAGGGAAAGAAATGCAGAGCAGGAGATGAAGTGGACAGGGAGGCGAGATCCAGGCTAAAAGAAGGTTCCAGACCTAGCTGGGATGATACCTTTAACTTCCCACGCTCCCTACAGAATATTTTTACTAACTGAAGGATTAGAACTCAGTATTATACTTCTCATTTAACCTGTCTGTATTTCCCACTAATAGTGCTAAAATTACTCCTTTTCCATCACTACATGACTTGCAAGTAAACCACTTTGCTATGGAACGCCTGCCTAGTTAGTTGCAAACTGCGGGAAGTGCCATCAGGAGGGAAGTCATCAAGAATTCCTGGGCATTAGAGTTGTGCTTCCTGAGACACCTGTAAGTGTGTTTATTCCTGCTAAGTCATCTGGCATCAACTTAAAAGCAGAGGTTTTTCAATTAATTGTAAAGTGAAAGTGGCAATCAGGCTGTGGGGAGTGACTAGATGAAAGAGTTAGAGGGATTCAGGTCTCCTCCATTCCCCAAAAGGCAGAAAGGACCTAATTAGAAACAAAGCTAATGTAACGTCTTTCCTGAGGGGCCTTCCTCGGGGGTGATTTCTTTTGTTCTATTTCATTTTCGTATGTGTTGGTATTAATCAGAGTCCACTAAAATGCAGGGTAGAAATGTCTCGAGATGGCATATATTCATGTGAAACATGTATACTTCTATTTAGAATGGGCTTCAAAGAGTGGTTGCTTGAAAACAAAATTCTTAATCTAAGATGCACACACTTTGCGGATCCTCAGCAGTTGGCACAGAGGAATCAAGTGATTCGCTGGGATGCTTTCACTCTGGGGCTTATGTACACTAAAGATCTCCTTTAAAGTCATGATTTCCAGGAGGCTGAGGCAGGAGAATCACTTGAACCTGGGAGGCAGAGGTAGCAATGAGCCGAGATCGTGCCACTGCACTCCAGCCTGGTGACAGAGTGAGACTCTGCCTCAAAAAAAAGAAAAAAAGAAACAAACAGTCATGATTTCACGTCAGCCTACTTTCAGAGACAGCATTGCATTTAAAGAAACAGGGGAATGAGAAGTAAGAGATGGGCTTCGTAAAATTAATAATAGTATTCTAAACATGTGCTGTGCACATTTGCATAATTTTTATCATCGGACCAGCTAAGCCAGGATACTCCAATTTCCATTCTGCTTTTCCTATCTTACTTATTTCTCAACAGATACTCATTACTGGCATTTTCCTAAATCAATCTTACCTGATTTCCATTACCCCTTGTTGTTTTTGACAGAGGTTCATTAGATCTCAGAGTATGCTGGCTAAATGTGACAGGCTGGCACTTTCAGAAATAAAGACTATTCTATTTCCCTAATTAGAACAGCATCCTTGCACAGACTGCCCAGATGCACCTGCCTTTATGCAAACTCTGAAGGCCGAACATGTTGCCTTTTTATTTGGTCAAAGATACTTTGTGTTAAAACAGACAGATTGGAGCAAACTTGGTTCAAATGCATTTTTCTCATTCATTTGGTGGCATCAAGATCATGGGCTTTTCTAGACAAATAGTTTCAAAGGAGTGTAGCCAACCATTGGTTATTCAGTAACTGATTAAGTAGAATGTCTATGATGTAAATCTCTTGTTCTCAATTTTCTCTCTGCTGATTTTGGCCTTTCCACCGCCTTACTGCAAAGTGGTTATTGTACCAGAGAGCAGATAATGCAAGAAAAAGGA